TTTACAGTAATCAGCAGCTCTTATGAGTCTGTTAAACCAGGTTTTCTGCTTGAAGACGATGTTCAAGCTTTTATGTTAGCATGTATCTCAGCACCTCTTTTCTCTAAACACGCCTTTCATGTTGATCATTTGGGACTTTTACAGTCAAAATAATCATCTGTAGAATCACTGTATAATGAGGCATAGAATCCTAAAGGGACTGGTTTTCTACATGACCTACATACTCTAGCTCCCTATAAATACAATATGAGTATGAAAACAAGCAATAGTGAAGTCTGCTGAAATATCTGTTAGTTTCCCATCAAATGAATACTTCTTTTGTAGGAATGCAAAAAGTGCAGCATCACTAACGCACACTAGAGGTGCATCCTAATTTGTGCATTTTTGTATGCAGTAATCTGCTTCATTTTAGTAATTCATAAAAGATAAATACCTTAAAGGAACACTACTTTTTGAGTGTAAATTCATTTTACAAGTAACCCGATTCAGCTAATCTCTGATTCTGGTGAGAGCATTTTTAGCTTAGCTTAGCATAAACAATTGAATCGGATTAGACCATTAGCATTTAAAAAAAAAATCAAAAAGAGTTTCAAAAATGTTCCTACTTAAATAGACTCTTCTGTAGTGTAAGACTGACAGAAAATGAAAGGCTACTATTTTTCATAGGCAGTGGAACTGGCTGGGAACTATACTCTCATTCCAGTGTAATAATCAAGGAACTTTGCTGCCATACCATGGCTGCAGCAGGCGCAATGATAATAAGTTTGAAAATAGTCCCCAGCTAATTGGTGACAGCACTGTGTAATATCATTGTGCCTGCTGTGGCCATGGTACGGCAACAAAGCTGCTTGATTATTACATCGGAATGAGAGTACAGTTTCTAGACATGTTGGCCTATAGAAAATAGTAACTTTTCATTTTCCGTCAGTCTTGCAGTACACTGTTATTATTATGCTAATGGTCTAATCCGATTCAATGACTTAAAAGTCCTCCTGTCAGACCTCCTATAAGCTGAATTGATTAAAAAATAATAAAACTCAACTGTTTAACTGTAGGTGACTTGTAAATATGTGTTTCTTTAAAATAATGTTAATTCCTTGATTTGGTTTGACTAAAATCGTAAATATGATTCCTATTAAATCCTATATTCATAGAAACATATTCCTAAATTCAATACTGGTAGGTTTCTATATCTGCAATAGTTTATCCAGCATACATTTAAATGGAGATTTGCAATGTCTGAAATGCTGAAGCAGTGCCCTGTGTTTCTCTAAGCTGCCCCAGCTGCCATTTCTCTTTGAGAGTCTCTTAGGCTGTGGTAAAGCAGGGAAGCAGTGATTCCAAGCTTTCTGTCATGATGTTGAGAGGAGTCCAGATTGTTTTGAGAGACTCGGAGATGAGCTCTGGAACTAAAATCTACTCTAGTGTTCACACAGGCCATGTGCTATCAGGCCGTTGCTGCTCAGTCACTTATGAAATTGGAAAAAGACATGATGGTTTGCAAGTCTGTGTTGGTGTCAAATAGAGTGTGCAGTTAATCCCTCTGAGAAGGCCGTCAGGTGTATTCAGAATCTGCAACAATTTGTATCACTACATTTCAAGACATTTGTAAGATTCTATTTTTTTTTAACTTTTGATTTGAAGCAAAAATGATGAATTTAGCAGGAATATATTTGGCTGTATGCATAGCTTTATGTAAATATATGCTGTAACAATGACTGATTTCAGTTTTGAGTACATTGTGAGATTAGTTCATGGTTCGATACAGCTCAGTTGTTTTAAAACCATTGCTTCTAAAAATAATAAAATAAAAACTCTACAAGAAACGTACTGCAACCAGTGTAGACGTGCAAAGAAATACTCAAAAATCTGGTAAATAAACAAAGTCTTTTTGGTTCATTTTCTGAATAAATGTCTAATACAAACTGGTTCTGTTAACAAGAGGAAAACAAACAGTGTGAGCAGTGTAGTATGATTCAGAAACTGATTCATAAGTAGGCCTATTTTAGGCCATCACTGATTCTGTTTATTTACTTGTGTAAATGTGTGTCAATTTATATTTATTCAGTTTTTTTTTTTATTAATTACAGTGTAATTATTGACTAATATAAAAAATATCCATGTGATTTATTTACAATACAGTTTGTAAAGTAATATGTTCTGTCTTTTAGTAAAGATATTATATGAGAGACTTGCTTTGATTACCAAATAAAGTGGATCTAATTGGAGTTAGCATTTTTAACATTTAATACAAATTTAATATGTATTACTTTTTATTTTATATATTGAGGTTTTAGTTATGATACTCCTAAAATAATTCTGCATAAATCCACAGATTTTTAACACAATTCTGCGCAGAAATAACCAAAAATGTCTGCAGATTCCTTCTGGCCTTATTCAAAAGTTAATCAAAAAACATATAGCATCACCAGTCCAGTTTATAGGGAAAATAGTTCATATAAACCAGTTGTTTTAAGTGAACTTCAAATATAAAGTGTTACCAGAATAGTCTATTTAATGAATACATTAATTTATTATAGATTTTTTTTAACTGAATCAAAAACATACAGCATGACCGAGATACAGCCATTTGAGAGCAATTGTTTCTAAAGAATCAGTTGTTTTAATTGAATCTACCTGTGACTACAATGTGTAATCTGAATTATTTTTACTTTTTCCATTTTTTTGAATAATAAAAATACTGGTCTATGATACGAGCAGAATAAGCCATTTCAAGCTCAAATATTGAGATGAATCATGTATAATTTATAGAAGCAAACATCAAGACCAGTGACCAGTGTAGTCAGATTCACAAAGGACTGATTCTTATGAACTCCTTCTTTTAAGTAAATCAGAAACAAACAGCATGCCCAATATTTTGGCCATTTGGCTTTATTCATAAAACATTTGATGTTCTAGATCACAGGTGTCAAATCCAGTTTCTGGAGGGCAGTTTAGTTCCAACCCTAGGTAAACACACCTTATTAAACTAATTGAGTCATTCGGTGTTATTTGAAACCAAGTGTGTTGAAGCAGGGTTGGAAATAAAACCTCCAGGAATTGGGTTTGATACCTGTGTCCTAGACCTTGAAATAGTTAAAAATTAAATCATAAATTACAGGAGCAAATATTATGAACCAGTTATTTTAAGTGATTTGGAACCCATAATAAACGAGTATTATATTACTTATACAGTATTTGCTAAATTCATCATTTGATGTACAAGCACACTCATGAATATCCCAAATCTAAGTTTATGATCAAATCCATAAAGATCAATAGATGACCATGTGCTTGAACATTCTTCATTCAGATTTCTTTGCGACACATCAACACTGTCACGCACATTTCCATTCCATCCAGTGAAGATCACAGATCAGATGGAGACACAGAGACTCACTGCCACAGCAAGACCTTGGAACAATAAAACAGCTGCACTGTCGAGCCTGCCGATGTGTGCTGTGTGCACCCGTGTGTTCTGAAACATGGCTTGTTATTGTCTTCAGTTAACTCTAGAACCACCAGGGCTTGTTGTATACCTAAAATAATCAGTCTGGGTAAACTTAACCCATATAGAAATGGCTAAAAAAAAGCTATTTTTACACTTAGGTACAAAGAAAGGGCCTAAAGTAATGAAATATCATTGATAAATCTTTATTCTTCTGTTTTAGTTCAAGGCTTTTTTAATGCAGGCTACACTAATCTCTTTCAGAGTGGTAGGATATAAGCTAAACAAGTCTATGAGAATTAGAAGTCAGTAAATACATATTTGCGTGGTGTAATATTATAACACAGTGTTGTTAATCATATACAGTATTTGGATAAAATATTGGTTACTTTATTTTACGTTACAATAACAACTATGTACGGACATAATCTACTTATTGTGTTCATATTTTTTTGCAGAAGACTTAAAAGGCTATCAAGCTGGTATACAGGTAGAATTAGGGACAGGTTTAGTGGTATGGGTAGATTTAAGGGTGGATTATTTTCCATGTTTATATATGCGCACAATGTATGTCCCTGTAAATACATAATAAGGGCATTGTACCAAATGATTAATTTAAATGTACCTACATAGTAGTTAATATGACTTAAAATAAAGTGTAACCTAATTATTAATTATTTAAATTTTAGAAATTATACTTTAAATAACAACACCAATAAAGCTTGAACATTCATAAGTTGGTTCAACATCTCAATTTGTCTCGGAGGCTCTGAATTGCTGTCAGATGTCTCGATTATTTTCTCTGCTTTAATCTAAAATATTTTTTACATCTGGGAATTGTAAAGGAGACAATTTTAGTAAAAGTCAATGACAGTTTTAAAGGTCTTTAACATATATATTTGAATAACAGTGAGGTCGAATTTACCCTGTAGCGGTTCTAGTGTTAATGCAGTCTCGTCCTGCCTCTCATCATCTCACCTTGCCTCGTCTGTGATCCTCATTGTTCATGTATTTGTTCTCTGTCTCTCTCTCTCTTTCTCTTGTTTTCTTGTTCTTCTCCTCCCGTGTGTGCACCCAGGCAGCCCATTGAGTAACTTCTTTGACGTAATTAAACAGCTCTTTTCAGACGAGAAGAACGGTCAGGTGTCCCATCCGCCCGGTACGCCCAAGCATGCCAACAGCAAGAGACATGAGCCCGAGCCTAATGACTCCAAATGCCCATCTGGCCAAGACAAAGCCAAGATGGCGCCTTCAGTTGGGACACAGGAACAACCTTAAACCAGGAGAAACGCTAGCTTACTAGTTTTAAAATAAGAGAAAACAGAAATGAGGATGAAAAGAAAAGACTCAAGTTGGTTTAACCAAGCCTCTACAAACTTTTATATGATGGAATGAAAATTAAATATCGACTCGACACTTTACAAAGGGCGCAAACAGACACACACACACGAACATAATTGTGTTTTTTTTTTTTTTCATCTCCAGTGTTGTTTGTTCTTCATTGCGTTGTGTTCTGTTTTTTTATGATGCTTTTATTTATTTCTGCTACCAGGAATTATCCAGAAAACGTGTTAAAGCCCAAGTCCTGCTCTTGCACAAGATTCATGTATGGCACATTGATGGAGGGCACATTACACAGGACGTGTAACTGAGGGAAACTCCTCATTCTGATGCATCTAAACACGCCAACGAGAGCCGTTCCAACCTTTTTTTCCTCCTGCAGCTACTGTACATACAGCCACACATTTCCAAGGATTTGGAGCGAAGCCTTAAAGCGAAGATGTTTATGAATTCTCTCTATAAGCTGACCCACGATGCATCTATTTATTTATTTAGTCCTTCTCTTTCTGCCAATGCACACACAAACGTACACGCAGGATGTTGCTACAAAAGGTACGGAACTCTGGACTTCATAGCGCACACGTTTGAGGAGTTGCCCTCCAGGATCGTTGTTGGATTGTATTTCTTTTTTAATGTAGTCTTTCTTTGTGAAATGAAAAATTTAAAACATTTTATGGACTCAGTGTCATGTACAAGATCCTATTTGAAAAATGACGGGGCGGATGGGGGAGTGGCGGTAAATGATCTATTCTGTTGTACAGACTGAAAATATTCCTTATGTAACAAATGTCTATCGGTTCCATCGCTTAGAAGAATTTGTGTTGCCACGTCCTGTTTTGTTTTTTCTTTCACGTAGCGTTCATGAAATGCTAGTTTTGAATGATGATTATGCTTAATGTATTCAGTGAGTTACTCCTGATGTCAATTTTGGAATTGTTTTTTTATTTATTTTAATTTCTATTGAGAAACATCTGCAGGATTCAGAGACTTTTACCCTTTTTTTGTAACTTATTTATGCGTTTTTAATTTATTAAGCTGGGGAATATTTATATATACAAAACCGGGTGGTGGAGATTTTATTGTCTGCATCAGGGCGACTCGTCAGATTGTCTGAAGGATCTTGTGTTTTGTGTACGATAACACTTATCCGATTTTGTGAATGAAGCACTCTTTCTTTCCCGGCTTTGACCAGATTAAAGAGCTTGTAGTATATGTTAAATTATTTACTGGTAATTTAAGAATGTAGACTAGCCTCTTTGGGGAGGGCGGGAGGGGTGAGGGATAACGAAGTATTGATATCTCATCTCATTGTGCGTGTAAAACAGGTGGACGAGCTCAAATCACATGTTGTAAATAGACAACTTTGGGCAAACGACTTTCTTAAAACCATCAAGGGGATCCTGCTGCTCCTGACTCTATCTCTCGTATTGCATGTCCGACATTCGGCTTTAATTTGCATGATGTTGTGGATGTTAAATTTCTCCTTCCTCTTCGCCTTTTTCATCATCGACTCGTTTCTCCTGTTATATTTGTTTTTTCAGTTTGTCGTTTTTCCTCTCATCTCACTTATCTTGAAGGGTTTTCTTCATGTTTCTGCATCATGCTCTCGGAACAAGGGTCTGGGATGTCATTACACATGATCACTTATGGGAACATACAGCGTGGAGAATAAGCGGAGATGTACTCTAAGCAATACACATTGTTGTCCTTCCTATTTTGTACTTTGGGAGAAAAAAAAAAGGAGCAAAGCTGGATTGTAATGTATCACGGATTTGCTTAATACCGAGCGGGAAAAATAGAATCGCCGCTAATGTATCCCCTTGTAACTACTGTGAACAACTTCAGTGCAACGGAAATAAATCCATTGACTTTGGGATGTTGTATGTGTGTTTGTTTGTTTTCTTGTTTTGTGTTGTTTTTGCCTCAAGTTTTGCCTCATTGTTGCCATCTCTGTTTAAAATGTGCATTTGCAGATATTTCCAGATTTGAATCTTCATGGATATGGGGTATGTACAAACAAACCTTTAGTTTTCAGTCAGCCAGCCCAAACGATTCCAGTGAACAGTCATCCCATACAAAAAAATATTCAAGCAGTACTTTATCCAATTAAAAATGTATCTTTCATTTCAGTTTACTTGTATTTGTTTTATTTTTCATGTAGTATATATTTTTTTTAAAACCTAAATGCTTTTGAATAAGAACTCAACTAAGAAATATTTTGTTTGACCAATGTAAAATGTTAAAGTTACTCACCTGACCCACAGCACTATAGCCATCAAGGGAAATGGTTTAGAGTTAATGTATGTATTATATTAGTTAGTATACAGGAGTTGTTTTGTTATAAACTTTATGTGTGTTCATGTTTGAGTTGGTTTCTGTGATTAAATCCCAGTATTTCTTTATTTATAAAATATTGGCCATCACCCTCAACAAGGGTAATGTGTAAAGCAGGGCTGTCCAAACTCGGTCCTGGAGGGCCGTTGTCCTGCATATTTTAGTTCCAGCCCCAATTAAACACACCTAAACTAGCTAATTAAGCTCTTTCTAGGTATTTCTAGGTACGTCCAGGGAGGTGTGTTGAAGGAAGTTGGAGCTAAACCATGCAGGACACTGGCCCTCCAGGACTGAGTTTGGACACCCCTGGTGTAAAGGAAGCAACCTGGTGGTATCACCCTGTTAAGGTTTGTTCATGTTATGAGGGCAGAATAAAAAGGTTAACTGACAGTACTGCCTCTTACCTGCTTATTCTGCCAGACTGCTGACAACAGAGGCACTCAGAGTTGTGCAATGTATGGGACACGAGTATTCTCCTATATAGCTCCAGTTTCCCACATAGAGCAATGATTTCAATACGCTTTGTACTTTCATGGACTTATAAAAATATCTATTGTTTAAGGCAAATGATTTATTTTTCATTGGCTTGTGAACAAATTTAGATGTGAAGCTTTTTTTTTTTTTAATTGGATGAATGAACATTTTATGGGGAATATACATTTTATTTTTATTTCTTGTTTAGAACAAAAAGAGATTTTCAATTAATTGTCTTCAAGACAAACATGCTTTGTACCAGGTTATATAAAATTGTTCTCAGGGAGATAGAAAATTTTAAGGCAAATGATTTGTTTTTGGTGATTTGGGGATTGTTTTAGTGTCATTGGCTCAAGTGAAACAATTTAGATTACCCTATTTTTTTATTCTTTTTTTTTTTTAGCTTTTTTTTACGGTGGGTCTGATTTCTTTAAAAAAAATCAAGCGATCTTCACTGCCTGACTGATATACGATCTAAAGTGGGTTTCAGACCGCACAAGAACTGCTGCCTACTGGTAAAAAATTAAAATAAATAAAAATTGTGCTATTGAAATAGGAAAATTGACATGCTCTAACATGTAGCTACTGATGGCGCTAGCATTTACATGGTCTTTCATCTCGTTGAATGCTTAAGTCTGTTTAACTGAATGTATTGTAATAACATCACAACATTGAAGATGTAAAAGAAACCTTATGAAATTAAAAATAGTCACATTAAACTTTCACCGGAATTTTATAATTGGCTGAAAAACACTAGCTGTGCAAATAGCCCATTGAGGTTCTGTGGTGCAGATAAATCTTTGGCCCTGATATTCTTCACACAAAGATCTTTTTTGTTCTTCCTTTTGAGAGCATATAGAAGTTTGAGAGGGCTGAGTTATGGTATACTGTTTGTGTTGTTTTTGTTTTTTGTGATTATTTGTTTTAGAACAAATTCAGTAGACATAGCTAGGAACAACTATGGTATGCTGTCAGCTGCTGTGAGCAATGAACACTTCCCAAATATCTGGCAAACAGCCTTCCCCAGCTTGTTGATTTCCAGAACACAGGCCTTGCCACAGACCAATGGTACAGAAGTAAAGGTGTACTACTAGGTGTAGTCAACTGCTGAAACAAAAAGCTTAAGAGATTTAGTTTTAAATGGCAAATTTTCAGTCCATTGTTTTTACTGTGAGCACCTTCATGAAAAAAAAAAAAAAAAAAAACACGTCGAACTAACCATAAACCAATTATACCAGTTGACTATCTTGATGTTAAAATGAAATCAAATTGACATAACATAAGAGATTACCCCTTCCCCCTCGCCCGACAAGGAAACACTGAGGTGCTGTTTTTCCATGTCATTGTTTATGAATAGATTACACCAAAAAGGACAAGAGTAGACTTGAAAAACTCTACATCAGTTTAAAGCTACAACCTCTAAGCACCCATTGCAGCTAGTTGTTTTCAATGAAAAGCTTATAAAGAATGTACAGTATTTGCTAAATTTGTGTAAGTTTAGCAGAAAACGCTTATTAGATATGGCGTACATGTCATGTAATAAAAACTCTCTCTCACACACACACACACACACACACACACACACACACACACACACATTCATTGCTTAATTGACTTTTAAAAAAATGATTTTTATCTTAAATATATGCAATGAATCACTGCCACAATATTTGACATCTGTAAACACCATAATTAATAATCATCACTGTTTATGTTAATAACAGTCTAAATTACATGTTTATCAACTTTTACAGTATTTAGTGAGACAGAAACATTCCAAATATGAGCTAATATGGGGTTGAAAGGTGTGTAATAATGTTTCATTCCTTCGGCTTAGTCCCTTATTTATCAGGGGTCACCACAGTGGAATGACCTGCCAACTATTCCAGCATATGTTCACTCAGCAGACGCCCTTTCATCCGCAACCTAATACTGGGAAACACCCAAACACTGTCACATTCTCACACACACAACCATACACTAAGGCCAGTTTAGTTAATCAAATTCACCTTCAGCACACATGTTTGGACTGTGGGGGAAACCAGGACTCAAACCAGTGACTTTCTTGCTGTGAGGCGACAGTGCTAACCACTGCCCCACCCTAAATTATTTCTTCAGTAGATCTTAACACATGATGTTTGCAGTTTGACACAAATATCCCAATTCATAGCTTTGTCTTCCTTTGTAAGGAAAATAAAAAGTTCAAAGCCAATTCATTTCCAGTTAACCTTTTAATGAATCTCAGCATTGCTGCTTCTACAATCAGACACAATTTTTCAGCATTTCATCTTACATTTCTTCACCTTTTCCTTTGCCACATGTACAAATAATCACAAAACAGCTGTATTTTTCATGTTTATTAGTTGTTGCAAAAGTACTGCCATTTAATTGTTGCGTTAAAAAAGTATATCAAATAATTTAATTGTATTGATCCCAACATATCCCAGTACCATTTCCTTACTACATATTAGAAATATATTTACATTTTAGCATGATAGGAGAATACAAAATTATCTACAATACTACTACAGTATGTACATTTCTGACACGGTGTAGGACACTTTGGCCACTAGAGGGCGATAATATGCTTCCACACAAGCAGCTTGATTAATGTGTAAAACTCATCTATTTAAGTATGATTATCATTCGTCGTCCGTAGAAACTAATTTTATGCATCATGATAACATTGAAGTCTTTAAAAAAAATCTAATATCTAATAAATAGCTCACACATTGCATTAAAACACTGGCACTGACATTTAACTTGTTAAAGATGACAACATAAAGGACAAACAAATAAACCACTGTGCTGGGAAAAGTCTTCAAATGTCTGCTGCCTGCAAAACTGCATTTGGAAAATGGATTGTTCATCCAAAAGTGAAAAACCTGTTGTAATTTCTCAACCTTCACTTGTTCCAAACCAAGAGTTTGCTTCTTCTGTTGAACACAAAAGAAGATATTTGGAAGAATGTTTGGAACAAGCTTGTGACTGTATCAAATTGTCATGTAAATCTTCAGAATATTGTTGAAGCTTTTATAATGTTGTATGGTATTATCGCTGTAATGACATGGGCTGCAGAAAATGGTTGCAAAAACAGGTATAATTATAAAAAATGTTTTACCTAAAAATTCTGAGAAAACAAATGTTTAAAAAATCATTTGCAAAAGGATCATAAAGTACAATTAATAACACTGCAGTTTTGTAAACGCTAGTTAAATATAGCTCACCCAAAACAGAAATTCTACCATCATTTACTCACTCTTTACTTGTTACAAACATTTATGAGTATCTTTTTTTCTGTTGAACACAAAAGCTGAAAACCTGTAACCATTGGTTTCCATAGTAAGAAAAAGAAATGGTCACAGGTTTTCAACATTTTTCAAAGTATCTCCATTAGTGTTCGACAAAAAAAAAAAAAAAAAAAAAACCTCATTTTTGTTTTAAAGGAATTGCAACCACATGAGGGTGAGAAAACAGTGAGTCATTCTTCACTTTTGGGTAACCTATCCCTTAAATGCATAAAAGTCAATAGTGAGAGATATGTTCATATCTTATGTTAATGTTAGTAATAAAAAATACTACAGAATTGTATTAATTAACAGCTCCATTTAATTAAAAAAAAAAAAAACTTGTTTTTAATAAGTTATTAAACATCAACTTAGAAATTAACATCACCTAAGGCTTGCCGGGGATTTAGTTTAATTAACTAATGTTAAAAATGGACCCTTATTATATAGTGTTAACAAACAATAAGCCTATAAATATTGAGAGCATTTTTAAGCGATACCTCATGCATGTCGTAGGCCAGATTGATGTGTAAATGTTAATGTTAATAAAGTCTTCAAGAATTTGATGAACCCGCTGCCAGTACTGTACAACAATATGAATATTCTTAAATAGTTTAAATAATAAACAATTATATACTGTATTTTGTACAGAATCCACTACAACAGTCATACATATTCATCATGGAGATATATTGTTTAAGTGAAAATCGATACGTCTAGTGAAACCAAATATTTACCAGAGTAATTTAGTTATTTATTTCACTTAATTTTCTCATGCTATGCTATTCGACTGTTGTTATTGTTATCTAATAATATCTTATTTTGTGTTCAACAGAAGAAACTGAAAGTTTGAACAACTTGAGGGTGAATAAATGGTGATTTAATGAATAGTTCAACTAAAAAAAATGTAAATTTACTCACTATTTGCTCACCCTCAAGTTTCAAAATCAACATATTTTCATTTGTGTTCAGCAGAAGATATTTTGATGATAAAACCAATTCTATGGAAGTCAGTAGCTACTAGTATCCAACTATCTTCTTTTGTGTTCAACAGAAGAAACTCAAACAGGTTTAAAACAAGTGATGATGACAGAATTGTCATTTTTGGGTGAACTATCCCTTTAAAATGTCATTTTTGGGTAAACTATCCCTTTAACCATGACTTCCAGCAGCATCAGAGCTACTTCTGTAATCTGTAAAGTTTTTTTTTCCTTCAAGCTCGCCGTGGGCCACAAAGTGAGTGCAGTCTTGAAGCCAGAGTAGCCTGAAGCCCGTCCAGAACTTCTGGATCCAGCAGAAGCTCTTCAAATGCCTCACAGTCCAGGAGATCCACCATGTTCTGCAGGATGAAGCCTTCACAAAACACCACCAGCTCCACCGCCTCGCTCACCTGCTCCACAACACATAATAAAACACACAGATCACATCAGAGGACTGAAGACTGATGAAATTAGGAATATGCCCTGCAGCCACAGGATGTCAACATGACGTCATATTGATGTTGTACCCCAAATATCAATGTAATTTGACGTCGTTATTGGACGTCAAAATAGCGTTGTCCTTAAACGCTGACTAGGCATGGGCCGGTATACGATTCTGATGGTATGATAACCTTGGGTAAAAATATCACGGTTTTGCGGTTTTGTGATAACTGCTCTAAAATCTGTTCTTTTTAAATGCCTGGGTAAAAAACTAAAACTTTTCCTCCTTTGAACACAATATTTTTTAATTTGGGAAACATTGAAATTATTTTAGAGCAGTAAACATATTGGGCTGAATAATTCCAATGAATTATATACTTCTGTTGTCTTCATTAGTTTCAAAAACAAAGATTTTTTTTTTACAATTTAAAACAGCAGCTTTGGAGATCTTTTCTGCTAGAGATACTGTTGTCCTAAAAAACTATGAAAAAAAGTAATAAAAAAAAATCTTACTCATACATTAGGAACGGTATAGCAGAAAATTTTGATGGTTTTAAAACCTTGACTTATCCAAACTGTGTTATACCTTGAACACGGTTATCGTCCCAAGCCTAACGCTGACCAGACATTGAATTTTGGTCACCTGACATCATGACCTAAATCTAACCTAATATTAACTTCTTATGATCTTGTGTGCCTGCTGGGTGTGTGTTTAAGATGTATGGACTGTACGTACTTTGGCAGTCCGGTAGATGCTCACAGCATTGTTGAGGTTTATTCTCTCTGAGCAGAGGATTTCACAGTGTCTCTTCAAAACTGGAAGCTGGAATGAGTGAGCCACGGGCAGAAGCTAAACAAGATAAAGCACAGTGGTTTATTATCAATGAGCCAAAAAAGAATTTAACTAAAGAGCAGTTTTGTTTAACCTGCCAATGGTGGTGAATTGAGAAATATAGCCACCATGACCTTGGCACAAAATAAAATCATAATTAACACTACAAGTAATTTGAAGATTCTTGGTAACCAAAAAGATGATGGAGGAAAAAGGTCTTCAGAATAATTTGTTTGGTGTTCATTAAGCAACTCATTGTCATGTTTAAAACAAGTGAAGGGATCCATTATACCAAATGAGATATATGAGCATTATTTCCTGAAAGAAAAGGAAAAATAAATGTGAAACATATCTAATTAGGGGCCAAGCACCAAAGGTGAGTAGGCACCTGTTGTATCTGTTCCGCTTCTTTTTCTTCTTCCACTCTGGGAGTCTATGGCAGCCCTAAACGTTTGTGGCATTTGCACAAACTTTGGCACACTGATAGAGGACAATCTGATATTTAACTACAACAAACTCTCGTACAACCACTTGTCCAAAGTTTCCCTTATGTTTATCTTCACAACTTTATCTTTTTATAACTTATAACTTTTTAGTCATTATTAATAAAACTTACATATCTGGTAATACTTTTGACTGCATATACTTATTTCGATGAAATTATGCTGACAGCACAAATACCAATTATGCCATGATCTGCCAAACTTCCTGTCTGCCATTTTGATTTTGTTCAAACCATTCTATTTTAACTCATATTAGACCATTGGTTTATGGGATTCATGTTGATAGACTAAACTGTTGTCATTTAGCATATGTGCAAACTTGATGTAATGCTATCAGATGACATTACAGGCTGAATCACTGCAATGGTTTGAAGTATTGAAACCAAACTTAAAGTGTGTGATCTAGCTAGCTGACATTGACCAAACTACATCACTTTGGGCCACTTTCTGGGTAAAATTGACAAACAAATAAATACTATCAATAGAAATCATACACATTTTATCAAATGACTTTTAAATAGTTTTGTCTATTGTCATGAGACTGGTCTTGCAGATTCTTTGGATCATACATAGAACATTGATATAATTTAATCACTAAGTGACACCACTTCCTGTCCACCATCTTAAATTAGTTTGAAAATCTGTTGTTTTGAACTCTCCATAGATTGTTAGCCCAATTTCCACCAAATTAGGCTCAGTCCATGCTGTCAAAAAGATATAGAATTTTCCAGTTGCTTTGTGGCTTGTTGCCTTGCTTGTTTGTTATGTGGTCACTAAGCTGCTTGTCCCCGGTAATTGCTGCTTGCAGCTATATTTTCACTTGTTATCATTTGACTGATGCTAATATTTAATTTATTGTTATTTCTGTTCGTTTATATTATAAAAGTAAATGTGCTAATACTTATGGTTTAATTATAGTTAAAGTCCAAAATTATTAGCCTGTTAAATGTTTATTCTTTATCATTATATTTCCCACATTATGTTTAACAGCAAGTCAACTCTCACAGTATTTCTTATAATATATATATATATATATATATATATATATATATATATATATATATATATATATATATATATATATATATATATATATATATTCTTCTTGGAAAAGTCTTATTTCTTTTAGTTTGGCTGGACAAAGAGCAGTTATTTAATTTTTAAAAACTAATTTAAAGTCAATATTATTAGTCCCCTTAAGAATTATTATTATTAGAGATTTTTTAAATAGTTTTTTTTTTTTTTTGAAAGAGCCACAGGGAAAGATGTGTTTAATAGCTTTTTCTTTTGATGAAAACAGATTTCTAAAGCATCTACAGTATGTGTGTATTTTCAAAAGCTTTTGCAGCAAATAAAACAGCTTCATGTTAAGCTTACAGTTCTGTTAACATATTTACATCATTTCAATAAGTCTCATAGTGAATGTGATACAAAGTTAGCAAGTAACCCTGTTTCACATACTCTCCGAAGCTGAATGTTTTATTGAATGTTTATTTTTAGCCCTGTGTACACGTGTTTTTTACCTTCAGCAAATCAGACGCAGAAACATCTAAACATTCAGCTCCTCCACAGTACAGATGTGCCATCATCATCTAAAATCAGAAGGCAATTTAGTGTCATTAATTTGTACAGTAAATTCTAGTCGTTTGCATAATCAGGACAAGATTTGATGATTACCTTGAATGTGTTGTATTTAATGTCAGTGATTTCGATAGCCATGTGGTCTGATGTGCCATTGCTTTGATAGAGACTCAGCAAGTCTCTAAACCTATATACAAAAAGAAAGAAGAGCATATGTACAGCATAATTAATTGTGGAATCATTATTATAAGGTATGCATTGAAATCCATTTGGGAAAGAGCCATACCTCTGGGACGCAGACATGAGTAGAACTCTGTGAGCATAAAACGGTCGTCCTTCCACCACAAATATCACATCAGACATCTCAGAGTTGTTCAGAAAATGAGCATCTGAGGGAGAAAGAATGATACATGTTAACAATATGACTATTCAAAGCTGAATTATAAAGAATCTGAGCTATTTACGAATGAATGAACGAACAAACAATTGAACAAATAAATGAATTAATGTACTTATATATTTAAAAGGGATAAATTAACACTAATTCAACAAGAGGTAATAATCAATTGCACTTTCAAAATGTTTGTCAAAGCTATTATATTGCTATGAAAATTCTATTAGAGTATTAAAGTATCCATACAATATTAAGCAGCATTAAAATATTAAGCAATAGTTTTCCAACATTAACAATAAAAATAAATGCTTCTAAAAACAAAATCTCATTATCATTTGCTCACCCCTCACTTGTCATAAACCTGTTGAGTTGCACAAAAGAAGATAGTTTGAAAAACGTTATAAACCTGTAACCATTGACTACCATAGTACGAAAACAAACACTATGAAAGTCCATGGTTACTGGTTTCAAACATTTTTCAAAATATCTTCCTTCAACAGAAAAAAAAATAAATCAAACAGGTTTGGAATTATTTTGAGTGAGTAACAGTGAGTAAACTTTCTTTTTTTGGGGGTGAACCATTGTTCCAACTAATATTCGCAAACTGCATCGCAAACTTGTACGTTTGCAACTTCATCTCTGTAGTTAGAAACATAGTTTCTGGCTGTGTTCCATTCCCAGTCAAGCCCCCCCTTGTGCCTTGAATTTGTCAAATTGTAAAAGTAACTTTTTCAATAAATAAAATAATAAAAAATATTATTATTATTATTGCTATTAAGTAGAATTTGCTTCATTTCTTAATAAATAGCCTACTGTAAATTACAACAATTAACAATTTAAATGATTTATATATGACATAATAATATGTGTTAGCTTTTTGTAAGTGGTTTTATGTTTTAGAGTGGAATATGGAATTTTTAAAAATATTTGTAAAGGTAACATAGGTCCTATATGTGTCCTTTACATTTATTTCAATTAATATGGAAAGTAAAGTGCATGCTTTTATCAAAACTAATATTGAATTTTTTTATGCGCTTGTAAAACAATATAATTTGCACAAAAATTATGTTTTTTTTTTCTCTAAAAAGGTTAAAAAGGGAATCGCACCCCAGAATGATAGTATAAATATAAAGTAAAAAATGATGATCTGCATTACCAAGCTGAGCTGTAGGAGTGTCTTTTACTGCCAGAATAGATGGAGCAGCTGTAGAACAAACACAGTGGCAAAAGACGGCTGCCAGCTGCTTCCGGATGTCCTTATTCTGAATTGAAAGGAAAATATGGAAAATAAGAAACAATTAAGTGTCAATTTAGGTTTAATATTTAATTTGGCTCACACTTCTTGAGACGTAGCATCAAATGTTGGGTTTTGGTGATAGTTACCTTGGTGGTTTTAATAATGGAGAAGAGGAACGGAAGACCCTCTGCCAGAAGCTCCTCGCAGTATTTTTCTTCCCCAATAATGGTGAAGTCTTTTAGGAGAGAAAGTGTGAGTTCAGTCCTGGAATGTAGCTGTGCACTGCGAATCGACTCCAGCCATACGTGCAACTTCCACGACACTCCTGACAAACAACAACAACAAGATTATTAAAACATTTCCAACCTCTATTTACAAATTATATACACATATATCTGTGTGTATGTGTGTGTGTGTGTGTGTGTGTGTGTGTGTGTGTGTGTGTGTGTGTGTGTGTGTAAGAGTCAGAACAGTCAACTCCAATATTATTCATAACCTACGTCTATCTATCTATCTATCTATCTATCTATCTATCTATCTATCTATCTATCTATCTATCTATCTATCTATCTATCTATCTATCTATCTATCTATCTATCTATCTATCTATCTATCTATCTATCTATAATTTTGTCATCCTCAAGAATTGTCTAAAGAAAAGACAAAGACAAAAAAGTAATCTCTCCATCTTTCTCTTATGTTTCTAGAATTTAACCTGGGATAAAAGCATCTGATAAATGTATTTAATATGCGCGCTTAAAAAAAATACAGTAAAACATGATTAATAGTATCAAAATTAAATTGTCACCTGATCTTTCAGAAATTATTGTAATATGCTGGTTTGCAATTGTGCTGCTTGATATGTTTGTGGAAACTCTGATACTTGTTGCAGGGAGAAACATGTTGCTGACAATATTTCATAGCTCTTTTTTACTTTCTATAATAGTAATTGGACAATTATATTGCTAACATTAAAATTGCCAGTAGGTGGCAGCAAGTCCCTGGAATAGGTTAGAGTTATACTACTGTAATGGTGGCAAATCTATTAGTTTTGGTTGTTAAAACCAAGCCCAAAAATTGAGAACTGCAATTTATTGCACAATCCAAAAATTTCAAGTTAACATTACTCCTTATCACTAACAACCTCTCTATAAGATGACTAAGCCTATAATCAGTGACTGCTGTGCACTACATGCCAAAGACCTCTGATTGTTTATGCATCTCCAATTCAATTTGTCTTCCATTTCCTCTGATTTACTGTAAATGAGTCAGATGTGTACCCAGTGCCCTGAGCTCCATGCTGACGTCCAGATAGCCGTGTTCAGCGCTGTGCAGACTGGCCTCCTGCAGGGCTCTGATTCGGGCCTTACACAGCTGCGACGTACAAACTGACTTCATGTTTCCTCCATTCTTCTCCAGCTTCTCCTGCTCCTCCCTTCCCTCCGCCAGGATCTCCTCCAGAGAAAGCACATCCTCCTGCAGCCGCTGCGGTTCACTCAGCAGCTTCCTCAGCACGTTCCTGACGACAAATATTAGTATCAAAATGTTCAGTATATGAGTAGCTGATTGAAACAGAGGTGATGGGGTGTGTGTGTGTGTGTGTGTGTGTGTTCTTGTTTATGTCATTTATGAGGACATACATGTACTGTATATAATGTCATATATCATTATTGTATAAAATCATACTTGACTGGATTTTTTTACATTCAAAATTTGCCACAGGTTTCCTATGAGGGTTGGGTTTTGGGGTAGGGTTAGGGTGAGGTCACATAAAAAGTAGTCTTTACAGTTAAATATATATTATGCTTATGGAAAGTCCTAATAAATCCCCCCCACCACCCCCCCAAAAAAAACCTATTTGTATGTGTGTGTATAGGTTTATGTGATTTACAGGTACACAAAGGTGTATATCGACATGGGTATGACTTCTTGAGTTGAACTCTATGACGATGAGTAATAGACGGGATTAAAAGTAAGTGAAAATGTTTAAAAATCACACTTAACGAGGTCTTTTGAAATAATAACAGTGCCACAAGTATACTATGTAAGTTTGGTTTAGGGGTAGGGCCATATAATAAATGTTTTTTTTTTTTTTTTTACAGTACACCATACATTATACCTAAGAGTGTCCCTGTAAATCATGTATACAAGTATGTGCGTTTAAGTGTGTGTTTGTTTGTGTTTGTGAGGGGTCAGTACCTGTGTCCATGTGCTGCCGCATGACTGAAGCAGTTCATGCCCTCATACAGTGATGATGTCAGATGTACCCTCAGCATGGGGTCAGCGCCACGGGACAACAGCAGACTCACCATCTCATAGTTGCCTGAAAACACACATACACACACATAAAAAGTTCAATTATGTTTGGGATAATATACCATTAAGGAAGAATTTTTAAACTGATGAAAGTAATAAAAAATGCTGTTTTTTTTATTATTTTTTTTCAAGTGGACTAGTAGTTTAACCTTTAGAGTTTTTTTTTTTTTTTCTGTTAAAGACAAAGAAAGATATATTGAAGAATACTGGAAAAGAGTAGCCTAATATCCATGGAAAAAAAAAAAACTATGGAAATCACTGACTACCTGTTTTCAACATTCTTCAGAATTACTTCTTTTGAGTTCAAAATGAAAAAGAAAACCCAAAGCAGGTTTGGAACAAGTGGAGGGGATATAAATATAAAACATAATTTAACGTTTTGGCTGAACTGTCATACTAAAAAAAAATCTTGACTGCTACATCATTTGTTAAAAATGTTGTGCATGCTGTTTTGAGTGTCATTCAAATTGCTATAACATTCAGCTTATTATTCATTCATTTATTCATTTTTCCTCAAGCTTAGTCCCTTATTTATCAGGGGTCACCACAGCAGAATGAACCGCCAAATATTCCAGCATATGTTTTGCAAAGCAGATGCCCTTCCAGTCGTAACCCAGTCAATTTAGAGATTAGTTCATTAGACAATTATCCATTACAATTCACCAATAGCACATGCCAACTGGCTCAGTCGGGACTTGAACCAGCAACCTTCTTGCTGTGAGATGACAGTGCTAACCAAAAGAGCCACCATGCCACCCAACTTATTATTAAGCTTTTAATATTAAAAACTGTTTTATTAGAACCCATCACTGGGAAACACCCGTTCACTCTGCATTCACACACACACACTACGGCCAATTAAGTTTATTTAATTCACCTATAGCACATGTCTTTGGACTGTGGGAGAAACCGGAGCACCCGGAGGAATCCCACGCAAACACGGGGAGAACATGTACAAAAATGCCAACTGACTCAGCCGGGGTTCGAACCAGTGACTTTCTTGCTGTGAGGCAATTGTCCACCGTGATGTCCCTACTTTGATATCCTTCCTATTTAATTCCCTATAGCTGTTCATGAATCGGTTTTACATATTTACAACAGATTATTCAATAGAATAAAAAAAGGTGGATATTGGTCATAAATTTGGTTCTTATAATGCATCTATCTAATCAAAAATACAGTAAAACAGTATAATTTTGTAAAACAATATTATAGTATAAAATAACTGTTCGTAAAATTGATATATTTTAAGATAAATAAGGAAAAAAGAAAAACAGAATGGTGATATTACTCCAGGTGTGAATGTTGTATGATTCTTTAGAATAATTTTGACATTCGGATAATAATGCTTATATGGTTCTCATGAATCATTCCTCTTTTTTTAATAAGAAGAAGATATTTTTGTTTTCAGGATATATTTTTATTTAACAGTAAAGTCAAAACAGCATTTATTTAAAAAAAAACTTTTACAACATTATAAATCTCTTTACTGTCATTTTGAATAGTATCATTTAAAACCTAATCCCAAATTTATTAATTTTTCTACTACAAATCTACAGTATCTACTATTGTTCTCAAAAGGCTGAAAATAGCCTCCGCCATGGTTTTCTATGTTACAGTACAGTACATTCAAACATAACTATTTAAAAGAAAGCACATGTTAAGGATGACTTTGAATCAGTTTTTTTTTTCCCACCTGAGGCTGATGCCAGCTGGAGGGGTGTTTCTGCAGAGCTGTGGTGGCTGTTTCTCAGGGCTCTGCCCTCCACATCTGCTCCCACATCTAACAGCAGCTGAAATGCAAACAAAGTTATTTAGCATGCTAAAGTCATGCCACAGTCATCCAGTTTGTATACACCGTAGAGCTGTACAGTACAGTAATCACCCCTCTTAAGTGATTAAACGCAGTAATACTACTGTATGCAATTAGCATGAGCAGCATGTTCACCTGCACTACAGATATGTGTCCATGCAGCACTGCAAAGGTGAGGGCCACCCAGCTGCGACTCTCAGGGTGAACAGACGGGTGTTTGGGTGAGCAGTTGGGTACCTGAATAAAAGAACACAGCAAAATAAAAATGTCATTTAATATTAGTAAACAACCCAAACTCTGCTGGATATTGTTTGTGTGAATATTCAGAATGTTACATTAATGCAAGCCATCCATTCAACAATTTCAGCCTAAAATGATCATGGACAAGGCTTAGATGATGGGTGTTTATTTTGCCCCTGATGTGCCAATATCATGCAAGAGTTAAGCTCTGATCACACCAAGATAAAAAAATAAAAAAATAAAACTCTATTCACTCTCCCTTGTATGGTTCTAAACCATAATGAGTTAGAACACAAAAGAAGATATTTTGAAGAAAGTTGGAAACCGGTAACCACTGACTTCCATAGACTTCCAAATGCCAATGAAGTCAATGGTTAGTGGTATTCAGCATTCTTCAAAATATCTTCTTTTTTGTTTAACAAAAGAAACTCATAAAGGTTTAAAACCAGATGTGATAGCAGACTCAACATTTTTGGGCTAACTGTTCTTCAAGTACCCTCTAACCACTCCTACCTGCCTTGTGCACTTTCTAAACTTTAATGGTATTAATTTGAAAACTTGTCTCTCGATAGACAGCAGATTTCGGAAAGCATCTCACTCTACCACTGAGCTATAACCTGTAAAAAAAGTTACTGACAAGACAACTAAATTTACTTTAAACCCCATGTATTATTATTATTATTATTATTATTATTATTATTATTATTATTATTATTATTATTATTATTATTATTATTATTATTATTATTAATTCATTCATTCATTCATTCATCCATCTTCTTATCGATTTGTCCCTTTATTAATCCGGGGTCGCCACAGCGGAATGAACCGCCAACTTATCCAGCACATTTTTAAGCAGCATATGCCCTTCCAGCCACAACCCATCTCTGGGAAACATCCACACACACATTCACACACACAGTCAAACACTACGGACAATTTAGCCTACCCAATTCACCTGTACCACGTCTTTGGACTGTGGGGGAAACCGGAGCACCCGGAGGAAACTCAAGCGAATACAGGGAGAACATGCAAACTCCACACAGAAACGCCAACTGAGCCGAGGATCGAATCAGCAACCCAGCGACCTTCTTGCTGTGAGGCGACAGCACTACCTACTGCGCCACTGCCTCGCCCTATTAGTTATTAGTTGTTGTTATTATTATTATTATTATTATTATTATTATTATTATTATTATTATTATTATTATTATTATTATTATTATTATTATTATTATTATTATTATTACACATAATTTTAATAAATCAAAACCGTATGCTAAACAAATGTATGTTCCAGGACTGAAGTTGATACTATGAGATTCTATTTAGGCGCTATATCAACAACAACCACCAGATGACACTCACACTCACTTCTGTCAGAAATCAGTCAATTTCACAATATTCAGTTTCCTAGCTAATGAATGTCTTTAGGATTAATAGGCACTTCCAGGCAACTGTGTTGGGGCCAGACTTTGGCCCTCCATGAGCAGAATTTACACCCTGGTAGATAAATGGGCAAAAAAGATTGATGTGACTGAAAAAGCACTGTGTCATTACCGCTACATCCAAGTTTGCTCCAGCATCAATGAGCATGTGCACCAGAGCCTCGTCCCCGGCTGAGCAGGCATACATCAGCGGCGTCATGCCCTACACACCACACACACAGATAGAGAGAGAAAAAGAGTTCAATAAACTCCTTTGAAAAACATGAGCTAAAAAAATAAATACTGTAGCTGTATTGTTTTTATTAAGCACACTTCACCATATCCTTCCTTATATTATTATTTTTTTAGGGTTTGTTACCCTTCTAAAAGCCTGGTAGCTGAAGAACGTTGGTAATAAAACCACTCAGGGTAACTATTGTATTGTATTGACTCCTTTTTTTATCTTATGGTAGGGAATGGTTACTGTCAACTCTTTGGAGAATTTCTCCAAATATATTCTTTTGTCTTTGGCATAAGAAAAATATATTATAGAGTGAAGTGGAGGCTGAGTAAATGATGAGCACCTTTTCTCTTTTACTATCCTTATAAAGGCACAGTTAACAACACATTAAAAATATGGCACAAAGAAACGATATCATTAAATTCAGTAGAGGAATTTAATATCAGTCAATTGACAGACAATAAATCCTTTCTGCTATAAGATCGCATATGTTATCATTTGTACAGATGCTATGTTGTAGTTGTAATATTTATAGTTATTGGGCTTAGTGTTAACAGGTTTTAAGACATGCACTTTTCAATGAGAAGCTTCATGCATTCACCTGATCATCCATTGTGTTCACTCCGTCCCGGCCCAGAAGCTGGATAGCCTGGCCAATCAGATCAGTGCGGCCACAGTTGAGCATGCGAAAGCCAAGATCCAAATTAAACTTGTCCATGGCTGCCTTTGAATCTAGACGTTTAAAAGAGGTAAAACAGCACTCTGGCCTGGGGAAAACAAAGAGAGAGAGAGAGTGAATTTAGAGTTGATTACTAGAAGAATACAGATAAATAAATAAATACAGCAATAACCTGCCTGCCAAAAATGGAGACACAGAGAGCCAAAGGACAAAGTAACTTGCTTAAAGATATAAAGAAGGGAAAAAATTAATTTCACCTGTCTGCATTTAGCAGATGAGTGTATTAAGCAGCATGAACTTGTGATAATTAAACCCTAGGCCCTGATGTTACCAGAACTACTGATGAACACTTTTAAAGATATGCTTTGTCAAACTTTTATACCCTTGCTGATAATTTGTTTCAAACCGCTGGCTTGAAGCACACACTGTATCAAACTGCCAACATCATTATTTCAGTAAACAAGGCTTTGCTATACTATTACTGTTTCAAATTTCTAAAGGCTCATTGCGGGTGAGCAATCTCAGAGAACTCATGTACTAGCATAAGCTTTTAGCCCTTTAACTGCCTGCTCTTCCTTATGGTTAACCATGTTTTTACTGTTTTAAATAATGACTTTTAAAGTAATTTAAAGAATTACTATTTTAATAATAGTTTACACTTCACAGCATTGTAAGTTGTCAAAAAAACAAATAAATAAATAAATAAATAAATAAATAAATAAATAAAACTAACATAATCCTATTGCACTAGTACACTTGAATTTGGTTTTAAATGGTTTTAAAAGTGTTGAATGAGGATCTGAATTTTATGGCATATTTCAAATAATAATGATGATTTAGTACTAGTATTTAGTATATATATATATATATATATATATATATATATATATATTTTTTTTTTTTTTTTTTTTTTTACTCAATTAGAATGGTTAACCGATTTTTAAAACATAATATATACAGTCAAAAAAACATAATATACATATAAGCATATACTGCATATGAAGCGTTTTAGATGCAAAAACTTGTAAGTGCCATCTGAAATTTTCTTTCACTTTGAAGGCGATGAAAATAACCCATTCATTATAATAACATTTTGAATACAGAAGCTACACACAAGTTTCAAACGGCACTTAGAGGTTTTTGCATCTTAACCCTTCATATATGAAGAATACTGTCTCTTGTCCCTGCATGCTTTAAACTCATATATAATGTTTACACAGTAGGTCTTAAAACCACATGCAAATCATCACCCTGGAATTATAAGGTTCTGACATTTTTGTCAAAATTAGGTTATTGATGAATTCTTTTTAATTGACAACTTATTTACATTATGGGATGTTTTTTTAAGTTGTTTACATTTTAAGACTTTTTATTTATTAAACAAATGTTACACACATACTGCTTGCTTTGGGATGCAAAAACTTTGAAGCTAAATATCTCAAAATCATTCAGAACGCAGATAGAACCTTATAATTCCAAGGTGACCTATTGATAAACTCACTATTTTGGTTAAGCATATCATGAAACCCACAAAAAAAAAAAAAAAACATGAATTCTGAACTGTGGAGCCTGGTCAACTATGATCCCTACTGATCCTTATGATCCCTAATGCTAACATTCTGATGTTGATTCTGAAACACATTTTGTATAATAATTGGAAGAATTTTCATTATCATCCTACCTTTTTTGTAAAGTCGTGAACGTGAACACGTGAATCCACCCAGAGCAGTAAAAGCATACAGTAAAATCTTTTAATGTTAAAGTGTTTATTGCACTGTAATTTTAAATTACAACAGCAGATTTATTTTGTAAGGCACTTGGTTCATCTGACACAAAATGCCATCACTAGCCAGCTCTAACTCTATAACGGCAGAACCGCATCTTACTTGAGCTGTCGAGGTTCGCAGTCCAACCCAGGAAGAAGCAGCCGGGCAGTCTGTCTGACATCATCACTGTCCACTAGTAGGCTCCGCCGATGCTCAGCATGAACCATAGCGACCCGCATCCACTCCATCAGAGGAGGAAGAAGAGGAAACGGCCTGAGAAAGAGAAACACACAGCATTGCTCAGCTATTCACAACCCCCTTTCACTGCACTCTGTATTTCTCCCTGCCAAGAAATGCACAAACATAACCCAAGTAAAGTTCATGTGAGATTCACAGTGGCACAAAACTGGATCAGAGAGATGTAAGGACAGTGTAATTAGAAAGGCTGCTGAGTTTGGCTCGCCGCAGCCTCTTTCAATCCTGCCGTTCATTACCACAAACAAGCCTGCCACTTCACTCTTAATCACAATTTGTCTACCAGCATCTGCCGTCTTCAACAGACAAGAGTCTCGCTGGATTTCAAATCAGCGTGATATTACAGAACGAATCCTCTATGGTTTTTCTTCTTCTCCACTGTCTGTGCCAGTGATTGTGAAGCATAACTGTCCACCTGCTGAACACATTAGTATTCATTATTTGACTTGAATGCAGAGCAAGTTTCCAGACAAACCTTCTCTGCTTACTAGAACAGACTTGAAGGTAAAATTCTAAGTATGCATATAATCTACAGAGAAAGAAAAATAAAGAAAATACCATAGAGGATGAAAGGATGCTCTCAAATGAATAACAGTCAGGAATGATTCATTTATTATGCTTGCACAGAAATTCAATGTGCACTACTATTTAAAGGTGCTGTATGTAAGTTTGTGACTCTTCTAAAGCATCAAAATACCATAATATGTTTGCAGATATTTGAGAAACAGGTTGAGTGAACATTCTTGTTTATCTAAAACAATGCTGAAGTCAGATATTCGGCTTTGAAAATGTGTTTTCCGTGCCGAAGCATCTGTCTTTACGTTATTTTAACCTGCACAATGCCAGGTTAACCAATTATATTTCAGCACTCTGGGTTGCCTTGGTGGAAAACCACCTATTTCATTCATTTATGAATGAATGAATGAATGAATGAATGAATGAATGAATGAATGAATGAATGAATGAATGAATAAATAAATGAATGAATAAAAAAGGATAAGCAATAGCATTTTATATATGTGGATGTATAAATTGTGTCATAATCCAACTGCAATTGCCAATCCTACATTGCTCTTTGCATGTCTGCTGTCAGATTTCAAATGAAAAAGGTAAGTTCATTTGCAAATGCATTTTTTCATGTCTTGACAAAATAGCAATATTAATAGCGTCATTTTATTTTTCCTTTTTTTCCACATTGTGCTTGTAACTTGCCAAAACTCTAATGCAGGGGTCACCAATCCTGATCCTGGAGGGCCGGTGTCCATGCAGGGTTTAGCTCCAACTTGCCTCAACACACCTGCCTGGACGTTTCAAGTATACCCAGTAAGACCTTGATTAGCTTGTTCAGGTGTGTTTGATTAGGATTGGAGCTAAAATCTGCAGGACACCGGCCCTCCAGGAACAAGTTTGGTGACCACTGCTCTAATGGAATCCCAAATTCTTTTGCATTTGATTTTCCGATGTCTATGCTGAAACCTGCCAATCAAACAACAGTATTAACAGTATTGTACTGGGAAGTGACATCACCCACAGTCGACGTGTTTACAATTTTGAAAAATGGAGGTAATTAGTGAAATTGTGGAGCAAATTTTGACACTTGCGCAGCAGATTGATGACAGCTCATGTGATACAAATTTACTTTTATTTAGAAACTCTTATATTTTTGCACATGTAAAATGGGTTTGTGGCCTTATCGAACAGCACAATCAATGATTTGGTCTTCGCCAACCTAATTGAAGTTACCGGCAGGGTTTTTATGGGTTTTTAAGGATCAGGACGTCATTTAGTGGAAAAACCACTAGAAATGATCAAGTTCTACCCTCAAAAAATAATTTTTTGACATGTTCAAACTACTTAACTAAAATGAGCTCAAACAACACAATTCTTAAAATTTCATTGGAACAACTTTATTTTTAATGTTCAATCCATATAAATTTGTTAAGTTAGTGTTAAGTTAACTTAATCAAGTTGTGTTGGGACAACAAGAATGAAATGTGTGGAACCTTGCATTTTTTTTTTATACAGTGATATGTGACGTGTGGTTACTTGTGTGTCCAGCTTGCTCGGCTGCTTAGAGTATCTGAGCAAACCATTCAAAGAAAACAGAAAGCGGAAGCAGAAGCGGAAATGCAAATGTGGGATTTTCAATTGCATTTGAATTATGACAACATTTATGCGTCCACATATGGAAAATGCAATTGCATTTGAAAATTGTCCAGACTATACTTCCATAGAAATCAAAAGCTTCAAAGATGTAGTAAAGTGATGGCCCATCGTGAACAAATCTTGTTTTTTTTGTTTGTTGTTGTTTTTGTTTTTTTACCAGATCTAGAGGTTAAACCATTTAATCATTTGAGTTGCAAAATGCAATTGTATAAAACTTTTCAAATCATGGTGATGTTTTAACTGACTCTAATTATGATTGCTGGCTATATATTTTTGATTCATTGTGTCCTAACATGGGAGAATTGTCGTTAAGTCATTGTGGATGATATCATAACGTTGTAGCATAAAAGAATCCATTTTTCAACCACTTCATTGAAACAACCAGTTCGAAAGGTCTGGTTTGTTGAAAATGATCCAAGCCCACCACTAGTAGTAAGATATAAAAAATGAAGCAGCAAAAAGAGAGGGAACAAAAGGGGTTTAAAAAACAAACTAATCACAACTAAACATGTGAAGCAAATTATTTGAAAATTGCAAAACAAGAGGGGCATGGATAACAGAAGAGCATGTGGCAGCAAACAGTAACACAGGTCATGTGCTCACAAAACAATACAGGACTGGAGCAGTGTCACAGCTCTGTCACAAACACAGAAAAAGCACAACTGAACTGGCAGAACCCTGGCCTGCTGGTCTCACCTCTCTTTATTGAGTGCTATCCTCTGTGGCTCAAGGTTGGGGTTCTCCAGAGACTCCATCTGTGGACTGCGCAGGTAGTAATAGAGAGTGTGAAGGGCATCTGGAGACCAGGAGATGGGCTGCAGGCAGAAAGGACGTCCAGGACTGAGACCGGGACTTGTTGAAACCAAACGCTGCATATGGTGCATTGCACGGGAAACCAAGTCACCTGTAGAACACACATTTACGCAAAGTTTTGAACTTAAAGCACAAATTCTGTATATATCTTGCTGTCTAACAGACATATAGTGCCATGCAGAGTGTAATATAGCTGTTCTTCGATGTACTGTAAATAAAGACTAATTTCTGAACTGGCTAAACCAAAGCTGTCAGTTGTGTGAGTCTGTTATGATCGCCAGTAATCTAGCAACTGCAGATCACTGGTAAACACACAGTTCACTAAAGAACTACAAATTCGCCAGTATGAGGACTGCAAGTTCCAGTCATGCACCGCTCAGACGCACCTGATTTCACACACTCACGGCTGGGGGCTGCCAATGAACTGATTAATTGGATTATATACACAGCACACACGCACACCTCTTTACTGAGTCTTGTTTATCTGTCTTTGTGAACACTATGATGCGTTTTCCTGGTCTTGTCCTTCCTTGTTTGACCTCTGCTTGAATGAATGACCACAACTTTGGATTTCCCTGCATACATCTGACTGTGACCGCTGCTTGCCCGACTTTTCTAATAAACCTGCATTTGGATCTGCACCTCTGTTGTCATGTTGTCAGCGTCCCATTTCACATTCTTACTTCCTGTACAAATTTACTCAAGTTTAAAACCAATATGGAAAATGCCGACAAACAATGGCTACTTTGACCCTCCAACACTAAAGTCTGAAAGTCTTGGTTAATTTTGTTGATGTTAAGAAAACAATGTGTTTGTGTGTATGGTTTGGTTTCTGATTGTTTACTGTAAACTTTATTGTCCCCTTTTGGTGCAATTATTTGTGCAGTGCAAAACATATATACCATTCCCAACACAAATACATCACACAACTCAAAACCGCAGGTACGTGTTCGCATTAAAATTCAGCAAATCAATCAAGCACTGGAATGTGATCTTGGATACAAATAAATATATTTAAAAACCGATTGTAGACCTCTAAAACTAAACCAAGCACCTTTATAATAATATAATGGAGTCAACTGAACTTACCAGTGGCTTTGAAATGCCATAAACGCCTTCAGTTTTAAAAGCAGACAAACATCACATTCTTCACTTATATCTCTGAGAACAATTCTTCACTTATATCTCTGAGAACAATTCTTCACTTATATCAAAAAGCCATCTGTATTCAACCCCATAAACTAGAGACAGTAGCCAAATGCGATTGTGTCATCTTTTTAAAGCGCTGACAACACAAAATACAAATCATATTTCAATAAAGCAGAATATATCTTCAGACCCATCTGTTTTACATCCAAATGTGGAATTGGAAGAGGACTCGAATAAACTCAAACGTCTAGGAGCTTTATTCTAAGTACCTCAGAGGGGCATTAAATCTGCTGGTTTTGCTTCTCAATGCACAAACCCAGACTCAAGCTGTTCCCCACAGGAGGAGAAGATACAGTGAGAACAAGGCAAAGAAACACTCTTTAAAGTCTGTGTTGACCATTAGAAAGAAAAGCCTACATTAAATACAGTGGACAACCACTTTTCATATGCAGAAAGCATCATAGAGGAAAGAGATGAGACTGAGAAAACACAATGACAGCGCGATACATCATTTCGCATTAGCTAATCCTAAAATAAATGCGAATTTGTGACCCTGGGCCACAAAACCAGCTTTTAATATGCATGGGTATATTTTTGCCATTTGATATGCAGTGAAATGCTTATGCAACCTCTCATGACCTTAAAATAATAACGACAATAACAACAATCCAAATTCTGGAGAAATAGAAGCTATGTAATAGAAAATAAGAGCAAATATAAAATATTTAAAGACTAGATATAGAGTGTGTGGCTGCAGAAAGAAAAGTACAAAATAAGAGAGAATGGTGGTTTATCAAGCCCACTCACTTGTATGGAGTGCACTGGATCTACACAATACTCAATCTAATAGAGCACCTTTGGTATGTGGTGGAACGGGAGATTCACATCACGGATGTGCAGCCAACAAACCTGTTGCAACTGCGTAATGCTATCATGTCAATATGGACCAAAATCTCTGAGGAATATTTGCACTACCTTGTTGAATCTATGCCATAAAGGATTAGGTCAGTTCTGAAGTCAAAAAAGGGTCCAACCTGGTACAAGTAAGGTGTACCTAATAAAGTGGCCAGTGAGTGTATGCCCAGGGTGTGTGCAAATGTGCATAACTGTCCAAGAGTGTACAGTGGGTGTGCAAAGTGCATGAATGTACAGATGTGCAGGTGTTTGTAAAATGTGCAATGAGCAAAAAAGTATTTCAGTCCTGTGGGTTGCACTGATTGAGAGACCGTATCGTATTATATTTTCTGCTGTCAATTTATCAAAACTACATTTGTGAGTATAACATTTTTAAAAACTTAATTTAGATGATGAACTTGATTAAAGATAATTTTCTCAGTTTTCTGATATGTTTGAGGCCTCAGATTCCAGATATTCAAGCAGTAACATAGTTGTAGATAGTTAATATTAATATTTAAATAATGTCATATCATTAAAAAGTATAAAGCTTTCTATTAAGCTCTTAGCTTATGAGTAAATCTCGATTTTAACAAAAGCACACCTATGACTTATGTTTTGTGGTCATATGGATAAGAAATAGGCATAATAATCAAGAGGAGTGTGAGAAACCATCTAAGCCATCAATCACATATGGTCTGCATTGACCTTAATGAACACTTGTGCAAATTAGTTGTTTAACAAAGCGCTGCTTTACGGCTGCTGAGTATCTGCAACCATAAAGCATAAAGAAGGTGCTTTTTACTCCCTTGACCCAAACAGAAGGTGCTCTTGTACCAGCAAAACAACTGCATGAGTGTTGCTGACGCCCTCAGGGAGAGCGTGTTTCCCTCTCTGGTGAATGTGAGTTTTGCTCCCTCCCTCATCCTGAACTGTGGTCTGCTGCGTAAACAAACTGTTCACAGTTCAGCTGCTCACACACTCCACGACAGGCCTGCAATGTGGAGTAGTTTGAAGGAAAGCACTTGAAATTGTACAGAAATCTCTCTCTGTCTTCCAGACATGTAAAAACAATCGTGCAAAAGCAGCATGGTCAATGGTCAGTAGGAGGTGGAGATGAAAAATGGACAGTGGCAGTGTTTCTACATTAAAGTTTTAACCGCGAGGAGAGAAAAGCCATTTCATCTGACAGAAATCTTACATAAAACTGCTGCTTTATTAAGCTGGGAAAAAGATATTTCTTCTTGGTTAAGCAACATGAAATTAAAAGTATTTTTATTTCAACAAATTACAATATTTTTTATTTCACATTTTGTTGTCCATCTGCTAAATGTCCACAATTACAGATTTAGTACTTGTAATAATAACTGCACCAAAAGATATTGTAAAAGTAACGAATATGAATAAAGCAATTTATAAAAGTGCAAATTACAGGGGGAGTTGGAAGGCTCTGACCCCCCTAATTAATGCTTGATCTCCCCTGAAGAATATCACAACAAGATGTATGGGGGTCTGCTCTTTAACAGTTAAGAAATTGTTTGCTCTGATCTGTATCATAAATAATGTAACTGCATTACCGTTCAAATATTTGGGGGTCAGTAGGATTTTTAAATGTTTTCAAATAAGCTTATCCTGCTCAATAAGGCTGCATTTATTTAAGCAACAATAAATTGTGAAATGTTATTGCACTATAAAATAACTGTTCAAAATAAGTTTATCATTTAATTTAATTATTTATTCTAGTGATTTCAAAGATGAATTTTCAGCTTCATTGCTCCAGTCTTCAAAGTCACATGATCCATCAGAAATCAATCTAATATTAATTAATATTGTTGTTATTATTATTATTATTATTATTTATTATTATTATTATTATTATTATTATTATTGTTGTAATAGTAATAAAAGCAATAATGACTGGAGTAATTACTTCTTTTGAAACTACATACAATAAGAAAGCAGTTGTTTAAACGTTTAACAAATATTCAACTTTTTTTTTTTACATTAATAAATGTTGCCCTGATGAACAATAATTTTCTTAAAAAAAAAAAACATGGAAAAAAACTGACCCTAAGCTTTTGACCGGTAGTGTAATTAAAATAAGAGACAAACATAAATACACATTTGACCACCCCTGTAATGGTTTATACCATTGCGCATGTTTGCACCAAAAGTATTAAAGCAGACAGAGTAAATTTTCACAAAACATGTTTCTTGTAAAATAAGGGTCTGTAGGTGTCTGTAAAAGTAGATGCATAGTTTGTATTATATTACACTCGCACATGGAAGTTAAACAGTAAAATATGTGCAGTCTTTCATGGTCATTCATTTATTGGTGCAGGAATGCAAATCTGTCATAATTTATTTAAGATCCCAAATGTCATTGAGAACCACTTATATCCCTCAAAACACAGAAAACAAAAGTTTGATTAATAAAATACATGCAACTGAATTAAATATATAACTTTGGTTAACTGAGGCATATTACTGAACATAACCCAAAAACTTGACCCGCCCAGATGTATAAAGTAAGTATTCTATACTTATATTGCTATATTCTAATTGTATCTTACTTTGCTTGTTGTTGAGTTTATATTTTTGATTCATCATTAAAAACATCTTTCAGTTTCTCAAGTCAGTTTGTTTTTAGTGGAACAACTTAAATAAACTGTAAATGACTTTTACTTACGCATGCTATATATTTAGTGAATTAAAAACGATGTATTATTTGTATAGTAAAACAACCTGTTGAGAGACATAAACAAGAACCTTGTTAAATGGACTTGTTAAATGGTTTTCTCGTGGTTTTGTTCTCTAGTCACACAACTAACTAGCATTTGTGTATTCTTTTTAAACTCATAATGCATGCTAACACATGTTATATTGGAGATAAACTTGAATCAAGTGGTTGTAACTCACTGAGTTCTGACAGACTGCCCACACAGGTGGCCAGCAGGGCCTGCTCCAGCGTCCGCAGCTCCAGCTGAGCATATGCAGTTTCTCTGCTCTCCACCGCTGCATCTGGACCCTCAGCATACAGGCTGAAATGGGCAGGCAGAGACAGCTCTCCTACACACAAACACAGTTTAGTGAGATAACATCATCGGGACTCAGAACAGCAGTTGCACGTTTATTAGGATTTCAGCCATTAATCAAATGTGTCTCTAAATGTGAACTCTGTGGTAGGGGTCTGACAATTATGAGGGGGAAGGGGAAGAGAGATTGCTCATGGAAAGCCAATCGTTCCCGTATACAGAATGTGATTCAGACAGAGATAAGAAGAGGAAGTGTGGGAAGTCATCATTTCCTCTTCTCAGAATGTAACTCTTTCTTCTATCTTTAGTCCTTTCGTTCTTGTACAATTGAATTAATGTTGCATCTTATTGGTGCGTGAATTTTGTCTGATTAATTATCAATAACAAGGTATGAAAGCCACCAGTGGTGTAAAGTAACAAATTGCAAATTTGTCAAACATCCAATCTAAAATCCACCAAATATCAACATCTAATGATGTTACAGCTTGACGTTGTATGGACGTTACCATTATGACGTCTTTCAGATGTTGGATTTTGGTTGCCACCTGACAAATAAATGTCAGTATTTGACGTCAATATGATGTTGGATTAAGATGTTGGCTCAATGTTGGATTTTGTTCACTTTCTAACACAAACTAAAATTAACCAAATATCAACGTCATTGGATGTCATTATTGGACATTAAAACAATGTTGTCCTTAGATGCTGGCTAGACATTGAATTTTGATCACCTGACATCACAACCTAAATCTAACCTAATATTAACATCTTATGACGTTCTTTTATTTGGAAAAACAAATCCCAAAGTATAAAAAAGAGTTCTCACCAATAAGAAAGCTGAAAGAGGTCTAAAGCTTTATTTAGAGGATATCATTAAGACATTTATGGTCAATTGGATTAAGAGATGCCTATCCACCAACATTTCCTTTTGGATATTCTTCATAATCTTTTTACCCATACAAGTTGCTTATTTTTTCCATCAACAAGCTGTTCTTGCTTGGAAAATCTGTTACTGTTACGATTTTCTCCTCACACCTCCTTGTTTGGAATAATGGTAATATAACATCTTCAAAGAAATCTTTATTCTTAGTAAATTGGTTTAATAGAGACATTAATCATATTTTAAAGCTTACAGTTCCAGGAATATTCCATCATATAAACAATTCATGTCTACTCACAATTTCCCAGCATTGTTTAGAGAATTTATTTTAGTTATTAAATCTATCCCTGTAAAAATTATTTAACTTGTTAAAAATCATAATTGCTATAATTTTCTATCTGTTGTAAACCCAAAACTACATTTAGAAGGTGTTGAGTTGACTGATAAAAAAATGTACAAACAAACATATTCGCAATATTTTTCAGAAACAAAACAAAATTACTCCTAGAGGCAAATTTTTCTGGAACTCTATTATAGTTTATATTAATTGGAAAAGAGCCTGGTTAACTCTCTTCAAATACACTATTAATAATAAAATTAAGGAATTACATTTTAAAATATTACATAGAATCTACCCAGTAAAATTGTTTTTATCAAAGTACATTGAAATGGAGCATATCTGTGGTTTCTGCAATGTGGACAAAGAGAGCCTTTGTCATTTGTTTTTTTGAATGCAACATAGTAAAGAATTTCTGGAAGAATCTAGCCAAATATATTTTTGAATTTTATTATTTTACATTAAAATATATTATTTTTTATTATGAAAACAAACCGACAAATGTCTTGAATATATTGGTAATCTCTTTATTTTATCGGCAAAGTTTTACATACACAAACAGAAATTTGCTAAATCATCTCCCACTTTAACAGCTTTTTTTAATTATTTCAAGTTTGACTTTTTTATTTCTACAGTGAAATTGTTGAAAAGAAAAACATCTGAGATATGCATAATTTTTTTTTTGATTCCCCTGTCAATTCTTAAAATCATTGGATGTAGAAATGCTGTACACTATACTTTGTGTAATTAAATTAATTTATTTGTATTTATTTATCTTTTTTTTTTTTTGGCTCTTTAAAAATTTTATTTTAGCTTTTTTTGTGTTGAATAATTTGTATTGTGTTGTAAGTTTGTTCCTGAAGGTTATGCAATAAACAATAAAAAATAAATAAATAAAACTTATGACATTGTGCCTGCTGGGTAATAACTAAATTGCACTGCAGAATTTTACGTTTACACACATTGAATTGCAAATTTGCTTCTCAGAATTGTAAGGCTTTTTCACAATTCTGAGGTTGAAGTATTTCAGATGTATTCTGAAAAGTCTGAATTGTAAAATGTAAAATAGTAAAAATAGTAAATGTAAAAAAGTAAAATAGTAAGTAAGAATAGAAAAATAGAAGAATATTAAATATTAATTAAAAAAGAGTAAAAGTCAAGAGAAGCAGAAAAAAATTAAACTTTTTGTTGAGATTTTGTAGGTTGTGGTATTGTTTTGCAAATTTTGCTTGAATTTAATTGTCTAAATATGTTTGGTGACTAAAATAATTTTTTTTATAAATATATCTGTTTTTTATGCACCTGGAAACACTTTACAATAAGGTTCATTAGTTAATGCATTTACTAACATGAACTAATCATGAACAACACTTGCACAGAATTCATTATTCATAATTGAACATTTCCTAATGCATTATTAACATCCAAGTCCATGCTTGTTAACATTAGTTAATGCACCATGAGTTAACATAAACTAACAATGAACAACTGTATTTTTATTAACTAACGTTAACTAACATGAACAAATACAGTAGTAGTAGTTCATTGTTTGTTCATGTTAGTAAATGCATTAATTAACATTAACTAATGAACCTTATTGTAAAGTGTTACCATGCACCTTATATATTACCCATATTCACTGAGAAATGGAGAAAAATATTAATTTTCAAAATGGGGTGTGCTTAATTATGCCAAGCACTGTACATGTTTGGAACTAAGGGGTCTACAGTGGTACATTAAATGTACAATTTTTTTTACCATTAAAAGGAAAACGTGGACCTGTCAGGTACAAGCATAAATTCTCTTTCAAGTATTCCAGCTTGGTTAAAAATCACTTGCAAATGTTCAGATGATGCAGAAGATGGTTAAACTTTGCAATTAATCCATTGGGTGTTGTCTTCATATGGATCAAATATTTAAAGTAGCTGTGATTGACTATGTACTGAATGCATGAAATCTCAACTGCATTCCTTTGATTAACTGGTGTTAATATCTAACCATGATACTGTATAAAGATTTCTATTTCTCTTCACCACAGCTTAAGTATTACTTAAGGAATACACCAGTCTTCAGAGATTTATGAAAAATTATCTGTGTTTTCTTGGATAAAAAAATGTATGCTTTGCCAGGCTCTCAGAAACAGAGTGAAAGTGGATTGCCAACATGAATCATGAGCAGATCACATGTTTGGAATATCAATCTAAAAATGCAGAGTGTGTTTTTTTTTATTCTTTTTTATTTGATTTGAAAGCCATACCTTTCTCTTGGATTTCTCTTTCACAGGGTATCATAAAGGGATCAAATGAGGGATTTGTTTTCATCATCAAGCTAAACGATAAACCATTCTTGAGATACACCGACTGTACACATTAATCTGTGCTCCGGTGACTCAAAATATCTCTCCAGATGTTGACCAGCTGATCTATTTGGCTCATTTTATATCATTGCTAATGAACTGCATTTCTCGAAGAGTAACTGGGGTGAGCAAACTCATTGTTTCATCACTTTTTGCAGTTGTAAACTATAGTCTCGCTCTACCACAGCCAATGTTTTGCTTTTGCTACAGCAGCAGATTCTCAGCTTAGTGTGCAACGACTGCCTACTCAACACAAAAGAATGACCTTCAGAGCAGAGGGTAGCAGTTTTTTGTCTGACCGATATTCTGAGATAAACCGTAGCTGTCATGAAGGGACTCTGAATTTGCAGCCATTCACTTTCCATTTAAAAAAATAAAATAAATTATTAAAATAAATTAAAATTTAAATGTAATTAAACTATCATGAGTAAAATTGAAAAAAAAAATCACAATTTGAATGGTTGATTACATTATTGCCATTATGTCATTATGGTATGTAATTATACATGTGCAAGGCAATGAAATGCAGTTTAGACCTAACCAGGAGTGCAATAGAAGGTACATTATATAGGTATAAGTGCAATTACAGAAAGACTATGGTAATATTTATAGACGGATGAACTATGAACATTAAATACAGGTTGTATTAACTATGAACAGAGATTTACAATAGATGAATATACAGTTGAATTGAGAATTATTAGCCCCCCTGTTTATTTTTTCCCCATTTTCTAAACATTTCTAAACATAATAGTTTTAATAACTCATTTCTAATAACTGATTTATTTTATCTTTGCCATGATGACAGTAAATAATATTTGATATTTCAAGACACTTCTATACAGCTTAAAGTGACATTTAAGGCTTAACTAGGTTAATTAGGTTAACTAGACAGGTTAGGCAAGTTATTGTATAATAAAAAAAAGCTTAAAAGAGCTAAAAAATTTAACAATTTAAAATTATTTAATAGTATTAAAAATTAAAAACTGCTTTTATTCTAGCCGAAATAAAGCAAATAAGACTTTCTCCAGGTGAAAAAAATATTTTTAGACATACTGTGAAAATTGACTTGCTCTGCTAAACATCAATTGGGAAATATTTAAAAAAGAAAAAATTCAAAAGGGTAGGCTAATAATTCTGACTTCAACTGTATGTGCAGGTTGCTATTAATAATCAGAGGTATGCAGATAGATATAAACATAATAACAAATATATTTGTACAGAGGGTTTGTACAATTGAAGATGAATTAGTGCAGCATAGTGCGATAAATATATGCAATTTTAATTGTGCAAATATTAAATAATAAATAATGCAGTGTTGAGTGTAAATCAATATGTATAATTATATTAGATTGTTTGTATAATTATATTAGAATCTTTCAAATGTTTATAGTTTATATATATTTTTTTAATAAAAATTTGATTTTTGGTTGATTACATTGACTAAAAGTGACAGTGAAG